TATCTGTCCCTCTGTATATATATTAAAAACCATGAGTTATATTGATACCTCCAAATCTAATCCAATTCCACAGGGTTTATTCTAACCTTCTCCCATTTTTTATTGGAATGTCTTTCTATAACATAGATTCTTTATAATTTGTTTAACCAGTAACCATTTGATAGGCATTTGGATTGCTTTTAGTTATTGGCTGTTAAAAAGAGTACTGCAGAGATAATATTTGTACATATATTTTGGAGAGATTTTTCAAATATATATATATATAGGGAAAAATGTCTAGCAGTGGGCTTTCTTGGTCTAAGGAAATGAACATTTAAAATTCTTACAGATATTTCCAAATTAGCCTCTAAAAATACTGTTTGCATCTTTTAAAATAATTGTCTTAAGGGCACATTTCTTAAAAACAATCCTGGCCTGTTTCCTAATGTCAGTGTCTCTTTTACCCTTTTCCTGTCACCATTTAGACAGACTTCTGGGGGGACCCAGAGGTCCCGAGATTCAGTGGCATTTAGTTTTCCCTTAGCCTAGTAACATTGATTACTGCGGTCATTTATCTCTAGCCCAGAGTCTTCTGATAGTGTTGCAATTTTTATTCATAGACATTTCTCAAGTCTCATTATCCTTCAATAGCTTCAGTCAAATTATAGACATTTATGCTGATTTCTTTATAACCTAGTTAAAGTTTCATTGCCCTGACTAAACCAGAGATATTTCTCTTTATATTAAAATTCACTCTTAGCCTAGAGATATTTTCACTCTTTGCAAAGTGGCTGTGTTTTCCTCCTAGGCAATTTTAAACTGTTCTCTGTTAATAGCTGCAATTAAAATGCCCCCTCCCTTATTGATTGTACTCAGTAATTCAAATGGTTTCCCATTAACTGATGATTTCTTTCTGAATTACAAGAGGCAGAGTTGGTTCAGAGTTCACCTTACTCTATTTCATCCTTACATTTCTTTTCTAGCTTCCACTAGAAATTCCTCTGTTATTCCAGTCTCTATTGGTTAATAACCTATGCCTCCTCTGTATTACTCATTCTATACCGAACACAATGTGGATGTTATTTGAATGTATGTAACAGCATAGAGTAACAGACATCATCTAGAGGGAATTTGCTACAATGAATAATGATAATTGAGGTTGAATGTTTAGGGTGCAGACAGATTGTCTCGAAGTGGCATTGAATGGGCCTAAAGAACAACTGTATGAGTTACATTTGTCAAAGCTTATTGTGTATCAGACACTGAAATGGATGCTAAAAAGGCAGACAAGGTACCTTCTCATTGGGAATTGCTCCAGTCTGCCATTAGAGCAGAAAACAGAGCTAAACAATGATAGCATGGTTAGCTATTGCTGATACAGGAGTTGATTAATAGTTAGGAGAGATCAGAGGAGAGGAAGTCCCAGTGTCTCTACCTTAAGGAGTCAGGGAAGACCTCGCACAGATGAGACCATTGATCTAGGCCAGTGATGATGAACCTATGACACGCGTGTCAGAGGTGACACGCAAACTCATTTTTTTGGTTGATTTTTCTTTGTTAAATGACATTTAAGTATATAAAATAAATATCAAAAATATAAGTCTTTGTTTTACTATGGTTGCAAATATCAAAAAATTTCTATATGTGACATGGCACCAGAGTTAAGTTAGGGTTTTTCAAAATGCTGACACGCCGAGCTCAAAAGGTTCGCCATCACTGATCTAGGCTATGAAGAATGAAAAAAAGAGAAAGAAGGATATTCCAGGAAATGATTAAAAGCTTAGGACAGCAGGGAGCCAAGGAATAATGTGCTTATGGAGGAATGATGGGGTGTTCTAATGTGGTCCAAAGTTGATCAAACTAGTGTTTGAGAAATTCTTCACCAAGCACAGGCAGGTTTCACAGAGAAAACATGGTGTATTTGTTTTATTCATTTCTAAAATGGAAAAAAAGGCAAACCCCTTTGTGATTTTTTTAAAAATAAAAATGCTGGTTTTGTTTTTTTGTTTTGTTTTTTATGTGGCTAAGGACTTGGACACATAATCCTGTTCCTTAGCTCTTGGAGAACACTGCCAGTGACTCCAAAAGGGGAAATTGATGCTGAGTACAATAGAGAAGTATCAGTTTATTCCAATTGTGAGCACATGAGAATATGAAGAGATTATAAAATCACATGAACAACAAAATGTAGAGATCAGTCACACTTGAGCAGAACTTAGTTGATGCTTTGAAGTCATTCCTCTGAGACAGCTGCCCCAACCCCACTCCCAACCCAACTGAGCAAAATGTAGTGGAAATGAACCTGTTTAGGGGTTGGGGTTAATACTGGAATGACTTACTGGGTAGTAAGTTCTTAAATTTTAATGACTTATCTTGATAAAACTCTAAGGAAGCCCAAGTAGAACCCAAACTTACTCAACACATCATTAGTCAATGCTCCTTAGAATAATCCTATATAATAAAAGCCTAATATGCTAAGTGTCCGGTCATCCAGTCGCCATTCAACCAATCAAAGCGTAATATGTTAATGATATGCTAAGGCCGCTCAACCGCTTGCTATAACATACACTGACCACCAGGGGTGAGACAGCCGACCAGTTGACCAGTCGTTATGACATGCCCTGACTACCAGGGGGCAAACGCTCTAACCAGTGGGTGAGCTTGCTGCTGGGGGTCCAGGCACATCCCTCCCTGGCCACAATCGTGCACCGGTGGGGTCCCTCGGCCTGGCCTGCATCCTCTCTCAATCCAGGACCCCTTGGGGAATGTCAGAGAGCTGGTTTCGGCCTAATGGCGGACCAACCAGTCACTATGACGTTCACTAACCAACAGGGGGCAGACGCTTAATGCAGGAGTTGCCCCCTGGTGGTCAGTGTGCTCCTACAGGGGGAGTGCTGCTCAGCCAGAAGCCAGGCTCACTGCTGGTGAACTCAGCCATCAGTTAGACATCCACTGAGGGCTCCCAGACTGCGAGAGGGCACAGGCCAGGCTGAGGAATCCCGCCCCTCCGAGTGCATGAATTTCATGCACCAGGCCTCTAGTATTCATATGAGAAGCCAGGAAACCTGACCATAGGACATAGAGGCATTGGCACCATCTGGTGGAGAGAGTAGAAACTCATCTTTAAGTATGGGCTTGCTTAAATATGGGACCTTACAGCAGATGTTGCAACAAAGATTAGCATTTACTAAATGCTCTCCATTCAAACATGTAATTTTCTAATAAATTCTAGATATATCTCTTGAGCTAGCAATAATACTTATTAGATCTCTCTTTGGGACCTTTCAGTTTCTTACTAGACTTGGTACTTGCAACTAAAAGGATTTGGGTTGTAAGAACTCTTCAGCATAATTTTGAGGCAGGAAATTGCTCTCTGATAGATGCTGTGAAGGAAAAAAGGAGATACAGAATTAGCCTTTAGTAACTTAACAGTGTAACTGGGAAATAAGCCATTTATTCTAGGGAAATGAGAAAATCAAGAGGCAAATCCCAAGGTAAGACAATGTCACAGGAGATGTCACTGGGCACTCAGATGAGGTTGGTGTGCTCAGGAATGACTTCATGAAGGAGGCTGGACTTCAATTTATCCTCAGCAAAGCATTTCCAAAATTTCTAGAACTCTAGTTCTCAATTTGGTCATATTAAGGAAACCATCTAATATTGTTATTTCTTCACACTTTTCATTCACACTTTTTTTTTTTTTTTGGTAAATACCTTCTGCCTTGTCTTAAAACCATCAAGTCCATGAAATTACAGGTTTGATATGTTTTTGTGTTTGCTATATATTTGTTTTGCTAATATACATGAAACAAACACAGGAAATCCTCATTATATGGAGGTAATTACAGTAAGTCCTCACTTAGTCACTGATAGGTTCTGTGTCTTTAAGTGAAACTACATATAACGAAACCAGTTTTACCATAGGCTAATTTATATAAACAAGAGTTAAGTGCCTATGGCATCTCATCAATGTTATAACAAAACAACATCGAACAAAATAATTTTCTTGATGACCTACTGTAGTTCTACAAAAAGACCATTTAAAGGGAATCAATCTACCGAAAAAGAGTATCAGTCATTTATGTTAATTTTTTATGCAAAAGTTCGATTGGGATTTTAGTTTATAAATGAAACAAAAAATTATGAAAATAAGTATTTCATTGTTTACCCAACAAAGTATAAGCTGTGTTGCAACTATTGATAATTTGAATGAAAAAAATATTATTTAATTGAATGGTATTTTTCTGACAAAATAATTTAACTTTTGTGACACAATCATAAATATTAAAAGACATCAAAATAGACCTCTCTTTACCTTTTAATGTTCAAATTATTTTATGAGCAACCTACTTAATTATCATCCTTGTGAGTTTTCTCTTGTTCAGTTACTGATCTAATTGCTCTAAATCCTTATAAGTTAGTGGATTTTTATGTGATCTGAGCAGACTTTTTCTTTAATCTCATGCAATTCTACTTTTTTTGTTTAGATTTGTAACTTGAATTTCCAATAGATATGTATTGGGTTTGAATTATATTGGAGAAATTGAAAACATCATTGATCTTACTAGTGAGCCGAGGGTATTGTAAAGTAGAGGATTATTTAAGTCAGTTTTCAATTCAACAGCGATTATTTTGGTGTTAGGATGACTTTTACTTTCCTATGTATCCTTCCAGGGAATCTCTGGAATTGCCCAAGGACAGAGAAGGTCAGAGTCCTCTGCTCAGAACAGGGTTAAACCCCATGGCCCACTGAGCATAGTATCTGTCCTACCTCCTATCATACCCTTTCACAATATCCTTGGGTGATATTTCTTCTTTTCATGGTATCTACAATTGTGTATGCTGCTTTCTAAAATCACCTTGAAATGTATACTGAACCAAAAGGTAATAGTAGCTTTTAGAAGCCTCTCTGTGTAATTTCTATTAGGAAACTCATAGAAAGGCTTTTTGTAGTAGCTAATATTTTCCTTTTGTTGGAATGATGATTTGAAAGTTACAAGCCTTTCTCTGCTTTTTCCCAGCCAGGTCTCTAGACAAACTTTATAACTTTGCTGATTGCTCTGGACTCCACCTGATATTTGCTCTAAACGCAATGCGTCGTAATCCCAATAACTCCTGGAACAGTTCTAGTGCCCTGAGCCTATTAAAGTACAGCGCCAGCAAAAAGTACAACATTTCTTGGGAATTGGGTAATGGTAAGTAAGGTTGTTATTTGCTTTAATTGACAAGATAAAGTGTAAAAAAATAAGTTGTCCTCAGATATGCTCTCAATTAGACCATCTCTAGTGTATGGGCCTGAAAACACTTGAGATTTTTGGCCACTGCGTTGAAAATAGTAAAAGACCAAATAGTGAAGGGCAGTAGATTTAGTGAATCCACGCCATTTGCATATATAGTTATCGCTAGTTAACTCATTCCACATATGGAGAAAATGTCATCAGTGATTCATAACTAACAAATTGAAGCTAAGTCAGATACAACCTGTCTGCACAGTCTGAGCTGCATTTTATAGGGTGTGTTCTATGGAACACTGGTCCTACAAGATAACCTTTATAAAATTCAAATATATTTGGGGACTGCTCTATAGTATATGCACCTCTCAAAGGTGGAGAGGGGCAATGGGGGTAAAGGGGACATCTATAATACTTTTAACAATAAACATAAATTTCAAAAAAGGCTCTGAGAAGCCTGCTGCAACTATTATAATGTAGTTCTTTGAACATATTTATAATACAGTTTTGAAGTTCTTATCTGCTAAGTCTAACATTGGGGCCCCCCCAAGAAAGAGTTTCTATTTGCTGCTTTTTTTTCTTGATATGTTCATACTTTCCTATATCTTTGCATCTCATAATTTGTTTTGTTGTTGTTGAAACTATACTTACAGGTAGGTTAGCACAACCCTGAATTCCAAATCCTCCTTCTCAGAGGTTATTTTTGCTTTTGCTTTTTGTTTGTTTGCACTAGTTCTGTAGAATCTGCCTCCCTTGCGTTATGTAACTGCTAATATCTCTTAAATTTTTATTTTTAAATTATTTTTTTATTTTTAAGGCCAGCTTCCTAGGGGTTTCCCTTAGTCAACATAGGCTAATGGTGAGACTATGATTGATCAGAGGTTATGCTTAATTGAGCCAGTAAGGCTTCCATCCTTTGCCAGTGGATCTGTATGTGGGTTGGGGAACACAATAAAAATTTAGGCAATTTACAAGTTTGACTAACTTTTACTTTCTGACGTGCCTTCTCATGTCTCCTTTATGAGTGTACTAGGTTTCACACTCATCTACAAATGCATAGATAGCTAGTGCCCTCTCCAGTCTCTCTTGAGCATGCACAGCCTTCCAGACTACGAGGAGTATCTGTGAGCTTATCAAGGCCCACTTTGACTGTCTTATTCCCCAAATATCCTGTTAAATTTCTTGTAAGTGTGCTGGTTTATATCTTTCCCCTATCAGTATCAAAACCTCAAGTTAGTCTTCTTAGAGCATGTACTTCATTCCAAATCAAATTAGCTCCCTCTAGCAGTGGAGCTGCTGGATTTAGAACTTTCCTTGCCCTTTAGAACTACCAAGTTAAGAAAAACTGGGAGAGGGAGTTTTGCCCTAAATTATTTCATTTAGCTATTTTGTTATTATTAAACATTACATTTTTCTAACTTTTTGGTATAATAACCATATTTATGAACTTTCCTTTTTTATCATTTATATTCATTTCCTAGGCTTCTCATAACAAAATATAATGAGTTTTGTGGTATGAAACAACAGAATTTATTCTCTCTCAGTTCAAGAGACCAGAAGTTTGAAATCAAAGAACTGCCAGGGTTGATTCCCTCTGGAGGCTCAGAGGAAGAATCTACTCCATTCCTCTCTCCTAGCTCCTGGTAGACGCCAGCTGGCTTTGGCACAGCAGCATCTCTCCAATCTTTGCTTCCATTGACCTGTGGCCTTCTTCCCTGTGTGTTTGTGTACCTGAATCTCCCTCTCCTTTCTTTTATAAAGATCCTAGAGGCCCGATGCCCGACATTCGTGCACTTGGGGGCAGGGGCGGTTCCTCAGCCCCGCCTGCGCCCTCTCGCAGTCCAGAACCCCTCGGGGAATGTCCGACTGCCCACTTAGGACATCCCCTGAGGGGTTCTTAGCACTGCTGCAGAGGTGGGAGAGGCTCCTGCCACCACCACTGTGCTCGCCAGCCATGAGCCCGCCTTCTGGCTGAGCAGTACCCCCCCACCCCCCATGGGAGCACACTGACCACCAGGGGGCAGCTCCTGCATTGAGCATCTGCCCCCTGGTAGTCAGTGCATGCCATAGAGACCAGTCATTCCATCGTTTGGTCGATTTGCATATTAGCCTTTTATTATATAGGATTGGTTATTGGGTTTAAGACATACCCTGATCCCATATTACTTCATCTTAACTAATTGCATCTTCTAAGATCCTATTTCCAAATAAGATCACATTCTGAAGTTTCAGGTAGACATAAATTTTGTGGAATACTGTTCAACCCAGTGTATCACTCATTATAAAATATCACCTGAAAATCAGTATGGTCTCTCTGTTGTAGATTAGGTGATCTTTTATGAAGATTAGTTTGAAAATTAATAGAATAGTAAGATGGCATTTGACTTTTTTGTTGCAGGGGTTCCTCAAGTTAAGCTAGCTCACATCTTCTTTGGTTATTTCATTCACAGTGTTAAGTAAAAGGCAGAGAGATCGTGAACAGCAAAGGGTTGGCAGAGCTTTACCCTTCTCAACCCTGACTTGCATGTCTTCTTTTAATCTAGAGCCAAATAACTATCGGACTATGCATGGCCGGGCAGTAAATGGCAGCCAGTTGGGAAAGGATTACATCCAGCTGAAAAGTCTATTGCAGCCCATCCGGATTTACTCAAGAGCCAGCTTGTATGGCCCTAATATTGGGCGGCCCAGAAAGAATGTCATCGCCCTCCTAGATGGGTACGTCAGATTATTTAGCAGTTCTTATAACATTATTTATTAAATGTAATTAATTAATGTGTTTGTATTTTTTCTAGTTATTTTGTTCTTAGGAAGGACAGAGAGATTTTTTCCATGATTTCCCCCACTCTAAATCAGGGATTCTCCATCAAACAGTGTAATAACTTTTCATGTCTCTAGACCTTCCACAGTCAACAGAAGGTGGTAGGATTGGGGAGGGAATACATAATCAAACAAAGCCAATAACTCTATCATTTATGTCCATGCAGTTATACTTTTGGATTATCTTTTTTTAAGGATTTGATTAATGTATTTTCATGGGATGACAGTGTCCTCTCAGTACCAGAACCCTAATTAATTATTCATTCATTCTGGAAAAGTTTCTTGAGTAAATGATATGTGCCTAGTACCATGTCAGGAGCTGGGTATGTAATAATAAACAAAAACAGATACTTTCTTTACCTTCACAGAGTATATAATATGGTAGGAGAAACATAGACATTAATCAATTGATCTTAAAATTAAGATAATACCAAGTAAAGGTACATGGTACTATAAATGACTCTAAGGGCTGGGATTTGATGGAGCAGGAGGTCATGGAAGGATTTCCTTAATGAAACCACATGTAAGAGGAAGAGAGATATTTGGTGTAATTTAAATGATAGGTAGGTGTTAACTAGATAAAGTTTAAACTGAACAGTATCTGTGTTCTTGGGAAAAAGAAAAGCATATGCAAAGACCCGGAGGATGAAAAAAGGGCCAGGTTGGCTAAAGAAAGGCATAGCTAGAGAAGTGAGTAGGTGTCATATTATATAGATAGAAACTTATAGGCATAGTGAAGGACTTGGAATTTCTTCTAAGTACAATGGGAAAGATGCTGAATGTTATTAAGCTGGGGAGAGAAATAATTTGACTTGTTATGCAAAAAGTATGCTATGTTTACTCGATGGAAAAATAGGTTGGAGAGGAAGCAGTGAGAAGGCCACTGTAGTACAGAAAGGAAGAATGATGGGAACCTGGACTAAGATGGTGGCAAGGGAATATATTATTGGAGGTAGAATCCAAAAGTCTTGATATATTGGATAAATGTATAGTGATATGACATAAGAATATTCAAGCAACTGGGTGAGTGGTATTGTCATTTACAGAGATGGGAAGACTGGAGGACTAGTCTAGGAAGAAAATCATGACTTTAGTTTTCATGTTACATTTATTATGTTTGAATCTAAATAAGATGTCAAATATATCATTGAATGAGTCAAGGGATCAAGATCTCTGCTAGCAATATTAATTCTGGGGGTCATTAAAATGCAAATAGGATATAAGGCTGTGGGAATAGAGGAGATCAGTTAGAGAGAATGTGGAAAGAGAAGAGACAGAGGGTAAGGAGAGGCCAGAGGAACTCTCATATTTAGAGGGAGAAAAGAGGAATGACCTCAGAAGTAAGAAAAATGGGAGAGATTAAGATGTCACAGGAACCAAGAAAAGAGAGTTTTAAATACAGAGGGAGTGCTGCTAGGAGGCCAAGAGGTCAAGTAACAGGAAGATAGAAAAGTACCAATGGATTGGGCAACATGCATGTTTTTGGTGACTTTGGATCACAAAGTTCAGTGGAGTGGTGAGAACAGGAGGCAGATCACAATAGTTTGAAGAGTAAATGGTGTGTGTGTGTGAAAGATTGGAAACCATAATATGGACAGTAATCCTTAACAGAGTTTTTACTATGAAGGAGGCAGAAAAACTAAGGAAGATGTGGGAGTCAAGGAAAGTGATGGCATTTTTCTTCTGGGAGACAGTAGGACAGGTTTGTGTGTTGATGAGACTCATGCAGGAGAGAAGAGCCAGACTGAAGACGTAAAACAAAGTGAGAAGTCCTTCAAGGCTAGAAGAAATGGAGGCCAGAAAAATTGGCCTTCATTAAATGGAGGGGTAATCCCATCAGGGTAACAGAAGGTAAGAAACAAATATATCTCCATGCCAGAGGTTAAAAAGTCATACTGAGGAGATACTTCTACCCAGTACATAGGTGTAGTTAGGGCGTTCTAGTTTGTGTACATACTGTAAATGTGAGCACATAGATAGATGCTGGTTTGTTATGAATAAGTCAAGAAATTTGGATACAATAGTAAGTGACAGATAAAAGAAATGAACATGTAACTGGATGCTGTGGTAGCAAGTGGTGGGGTTCACCTCCCTATACTTCTAAAAACTAACAGGACTCAGGAGATAGAGAAAATTACTTAGGGCAAGGAAAGGTCCCAGTGCTTTATATGCCAGGAAGAAATGGAGATTTGTCTTTCTTAATGTATATGTACTAAGTAAACAGTGAAATATAACTTGAAATACATAAACATTCCTAGCAACTCAACCAACAATAACAAAAATGTCAGCACTCTAAATTATCAGCTCTGTAGTCTTTTCCAGTTCTCCTGGTTATACAGATATAATTTTACATAGTTGCGATCATTGTATATGTATCATTTTGAGTTCTGCATGTTTTACTCATTGCTTTATATTGCCCTTTCTTTATTTCTACATAGTTCTCATATTTGTCATTCTTAATAGCAATAAAATATTCTATTGCATTAATGTACCAAAGCTTTCCCTGGCTTTTGGGCATTTGGACTGCTTCCAGTTTTTGTCTGTAATATATAGCACAGCTATAAACATCTTTATACAAATAGGTTTTTTATTTCTTTTGAATTACATCCTTGGGCTGTATTCCAAAAAGTTGGGTTTCTGGATCGAAGTATGTATGTGATAATTTTTATGGTTCTTATATTTGTTGCCAGATTTTATTTTTCAGAACAATTTTACCAGGTTGCTGGGCAGTAATGTATTAGTGAATCTTTTTCCCCAATACCCCACAGCAATGAATATTGTCTTTTTATTCATTTACTCTATTTTAATTGATGCAAGACTCCTCATGGTTGTTTAAATTTGAATTCTGTTAACTATAAAAACAACTGGGAGATTAAAAATGGTGGCAGAGTAAGTGGATGCTGCATGGACATGCTCACAGAAACAAACTGGTATTACAACTAAAATACAGAAAAACTTCCTGAATAATCAACAGAAAACTCACAGGAGAGAACCCTGACACCCGAGGACTGAAAGTGGAGACTGCATAGAAACTGGTAGGAGGGGCAGAAGCACTAAAGGGCTGGCCGGGCACCCACAGATAGCAACTGAGTCCCGAAGAGATATCTCAGCTGTGGGGGGTTGCCACTGAGAACTCTGGGATCTAATCCCCAAGCTGGGCCCCCCAGCAGAGAGCACCAAAACAGTGGAGGGTACCCATATAACATCTGGCTGTGAAAAGCAGCAGGGTGCTCTCTGCCAGAGAATAACAGCTGAAAATTCAGGCACCCTCTTAAAGGGCCAAAGTACAAAGTTCCCTGTGGAGCCATCCACCTTGTGCTCTGGCAGAAGGAGGCTTAAGTGGACTGAAGCTGTGAGGACAGAAGCCAGGACTGGGGACTCGAGGGATAGGGCTCAGAAGGCAGACACCCCAAGTTTCCTGGGCTGAGTCATTCTCTCATGCAGCAGAGAACATCTTTCCCACATAGACATCTACCTTAACTGGGGGGAAGACAGTTGACACACCCTATTGAAAAACACCTTGCCCAGAGGCTACTTAAGAGATTAAAAATAACAATTAGCCTCCAGGGAGTAGCAACTGCCCCACCCTGTTGAGAAAAAAAAAAACTCTTGCCATACCTGAAGACGATTGCCTGGGGGGCAATTCAAGTCAGAATACTATCAGTCTGTAGGCCAAGGCAGTCTCTGGAGGCTATGATTCTCTGCCTGATCTAATTAGTCAAAAATGGCCTTTAACACTGCCCTGCATTAGAGACTGAGAGGTGTAGAGGTGTAATACATAGACACAAACCCAAACAGAAAGCCAAAATGAGGAGACAAAGAAACAACCCCCAAATGAAAGAACCAGAGAATTCTCCAGAAGAAGAAATAAATGAAGCAGAGATAAGACATTTATCTGAAACAGAGTTCAGAGTATTGATGGTAAAGATGCTCAACAGTGTGAAAAAAGATATAGTAATTATGAAAAAAGAACAGTCTGAGATAAAGAATGACATAATACAAATAAAGAACACATTGGAAGGAATACACAGCAGATTAGGGGAAGCTGAGGATCAAATCAGTGAATTAGAAGACAGAGTTAAAAACATCACTCAATCAGAGAACCAAAAAGAAAAAATAATTAAAAAATAGGAGGACCGCTTAACATGAAACATAACAATATTAGAATAGCAGGTGTGCCAGAAGAGGCAGAAAGGGAGAAAGGCATAGAGAAAGTGTTTGAAGAAATAATGGCAGAAAATTTCCCTAACCTGGTAATGGAAAAAGTCACACAAGTTCAGGAGGTACAGAGAACCCCAAACAAGAAGACCCAAACAGGCCCATGCCCAGACACATAATAATTAAAATGCCAAAAATTAAAGACAAAGAGAGAATCTTAAAGGCAGCAAGAGAAAAGAAAACTGTTAACTACAAAGGAGTTCCCTAAAGGCTGACACCTGATTTCTCATCAGAAACTCTACAAGCCAGAAGGGATTGGTGTGAAGTTCTCAAGGTAATGGAAAGCAAGGATTTGAGACCAAGATTACTATATCCAGCAAGGCTATCATTCAAAATAAAAGGTCAAATAAAAAGCTTGACCAAAAAAAAAAAGGCTAAAGGAATACATCACCACCAAGCCAGCATTATAAGAAATGCTAAATAGATTGCTGTAATGAGAAGAAGAAACAGAGAGAGAAACGTAGCCATACAGAAATATAATGTCAAAAAATATGTACCTATCAGTAATAACCCTAAATGTAAATAGACTAAATGCTCCAATCAAAAGTTGTAGGGTAGCAGATTGGATACAAAAACGAGCCAACTATATTCTGTCTACAAGAGACCCACCTGAAAACAAAAGACATACACAGGATGAGAGTGAAGGGATGGAAAAAAATTTTCCATGCAAATGGAAAAGA